TCAAATATTCAAGTTGTGACTCACCATTATCAAAGATTCTCAAGTTTACAATACTTGCTTCAAATGCAAGTTCAAGCTCAACAAAGGTACTCAAATGCCCTCACACAAAGAATGATTCCTTATTTACACACAATGGTTCAACAATTTATAGTTCTGAAATAAAAAACAACACTCACACTCACAAAGATGAGCACATGCATGACTTCACCCATAGGTTTGCCCTTATTTTCCAATCAACACTTGTTTCAACTTACTCAAGATCAAAAAGGTCTTTTCAAGGATTGTAATGGGCCTGAGTGCAAAGGTATGGTCATTTAGGTTTAGTGACTGCTGTCCTCATGAAATATGGTTTGAACAACACTTTCTTTCCTTTTCTTCCACAACTCTCATTCATGCTCAAAAAATTCACTCCATTATTCATTTTCCATGAAACTTTGGACACCCCATTTTCTTTTGCAACTTTATTCGGTTTTTCATTTTTTTTCTTGTTCCCCTCTTTTTCTTGTATGGAGGGGTTCCATATTTTTCAAAACTGTGGCTCAAAGGTGGACTTCTTTGCATTTCTTGATTTACCTTTTCCTTCCACCACACCCCCAACTTAGGCTTTTGGCCTAAGTTGGCTATTCAAATCATGAGGATTATGTGTGAGGAATAAAGAAAAGTCACAATTTCATCAAGTTTCTTCCAAGAAAAGGGTTAAGGCTCAAAGGGTATTCAAGCAAAGATCACATACTCACCAGGTAGGCCACAAAAGAGGTATAATGGCAAATTGTTTCACTCTTCAAAGTTGCCTAAAATCACTTCAAGAGATTGCATCACTTAGTCAACCGGACCAACTAGGCAAATTCTAGGTGTAATCACACATGGTTCACGGTAAGCTCATCACACAAGGCATTTCTACCAATGTCAAACAAGACTTCACACTTTCTGTAGTGTGCAATACTCATCATAAGAGACTCATTCAATAACCAGCTAACCACAATGAGATGCAAAAAGTTCACATATTGCCTATGCAACTTCATTTGGCCTCATCCTAGACGCACATTCATTTTTGTTTGATTATGAGCACTATTCAAGTCATCGGTATTGATCAAGACCGATACTCAAATTTGCAAGAGAATTGCTACAATTAAATGCAATCCAGAGGGTCCAAGAACACAGAGGAATTCATTGACCAAGTGCTACCCCCACCGAAATCATGCAACATTGTCCCCAATGTGATTGAGAATGGACACTACCGCAAATAAAACAAAAAGCAAAATAAAATAATAAAAGAAAACTAGCAAATAAAGATAAAATTCTAGTATGTAAATATGCAAAGCAATGTGACAAGGAATCTTCACTAAGCGCCCAGTTGGCAAGAAAATGAAACAGTCGTTGAATGCTTCGGCGGTTCGCCCAATGAGCATAATATTACCTTTTGTTCCCGTGGGTGACACTTCCAGAAAGGGGAGATTTGGTGGGGATGCAGGAGGTCGCCGAACAGGTCGGCGACTCGCATAATGGACTTAGAACTTTGCTGATCTATCATTGAGATACGCTGTCAGCGATGAAGTAAAAGGGCGAGAAAAATTAGGTTCCCTAATCACATCGGCGATTCGCCAAGTGATGAAGGTCCCCTCCGAATGTTCCAGAATCTCAGCCCCATTTATGAAGTCCATAGGGCGGATAATGTTGTGCTTGCCGAATGGATTCGGCGATTCGCCAATAGCATCTTCCTCTAGCACAAAATCTCGCACCTGTAAAATCAACACACATTATTTTAAAACACTACTACTTGGGTTGCCTTCTAAGAGTCACCTTAATCTAACGTCATAGGACGACGTGGAAATGCTCTCAAGCATCTTCCAAGTACACCACCTCTTTAGAGAAATCTCTTGGCACTCGCTAAACTATAATTTCAAGCGTTTCCCATTCACCTTAAATGCAGGTCCTTCTTCACCTTCAACCTCAATGGCACCATTTGTGAACACTTGTGTCACTCTAGATGGTCCTAACCATTTGGACTTGAGCTTTCCTAGAAAATGTCTAAGTCAAGAGTTGTATAGTAACACCAGTCTCCCACTCTAAACTCCCTCTTAAGGATTTTAGCATCATGCCATTTCTTCATCTTTTCCTTGTAAAGGGATGAACTTTCATAAGCTTCGAATCTGAATTCGTCCAACTCATATAACTACTCTACTCTCTCTTTTGAGGTCTTTATCCAGTCTAGATTTAAAGCTTTCAATGCCTACAGTGCTTTGTGTTCCAATTCAACTGGTAGATGGCAAGATTTACCAAAAACTAGCTGATACGGAGACATCCCGATTGGTGTTTTGTATGCGGTACGATATGCCTTTAATGCATCATCGAGTTTTCAAGACCAATCAGTTCTATTAGCATTCACTCTCTTGGCCAAGATGCTTTTGATCTCCCGGTTTGATACTTCGACCTGGCCACTTGTTTGGGGATGATACAGAGTTTCTACTTTGTGTTTCACTCCATACTTGCTCAATGCAGCTGAGAACCACTTGTTGCAAATGTGGGATCCCCCATCCCTAATAATAGCCCGAGGACTACCAAATCTCGCAAAGATGCAGCGTTTTAGGAATTGAATAATGTTTTTTCCCTCATTGTTTGGAAGTGCAACAACCTCCACCCATTTTGAAACATAATCAACAGCCACCAAGATATACTTATTACCAAATGAACTCACAAATAGGCCCATAAAATCTATTCCCCAAACATCAAATAGCTCAACTTCTAAAATGGGCGTAAGAGGCAACTCGTGTCTCTTGGACACTCCACCTTGTTTCTGACATTGAGTGCACTTCTTAACAAACTCATGAGCATCTTTGTAGAGAGACGGCCAGTAGTACCCACTTTGTAGAACTTTAGCAGTTGTACGTACACCACCATGATGACCTCCAACCGGTGAAGCATGACAAGCATGGAAAATTTCAATGGCTTCTTCTTCCGGAACACATCTTCTAATAATATGGTCAGCACACTCTCTGAATAAATATGGTTCATCCCAAAAGAACTTCTTAATATCAAATAAGAACCTCTTTTTTTGGTAGAAGTTCAGTTTATCCGACATTAATCCAAAAACTACATAATTGGCAAAATCTACATACCAAAGAGGTTGTTTGAGAGTTACCGTGAATACCTGCTCATAGGGAAAACATCATTTATGTCGATCTCTAGCTCGTCATTCTCCTTGCCTTCCAATCTTGATAAGTGGTTTTCACAACCTCTTCTATCTTTGACCTCAAAGTCGAATTCTTGCAATAGAAGCACCCACCTTATCAATCTTGGCTTGGCGTGTTTCTTTGCCATCAGGTAACGCAATGCAGCATGATCAGTATGAACAATCACTTTAGTACCTAGCAAGTATGCCCGGAACTTCTCAAATGCATAAACTACCGCAAGTAACTATTGTTCAGTAACTGTATAGTTACGTTGAGAATTGTTTAGAGGTTTTCTTGCGTAGTAAATAGGGTGAAAAAGTTTGTTGCATTTTTGCCCCAATAAAACACCTAATGTCGTGCCGCTTGCATCACACATTACTTCGAAAGATTCTGACCAATCAGGACTAATGATGATTGGGGTGGAAACAATTTTTTCTTTCAAGCACTTGAAATCTATCATGCAACATCATCAAAGTGGAATTTCACCTCTTTCTCCAAGAGTTTGCATAGAGGATGAGCAATCTTTGAGAAGTCTTTGATCAACCTCTGGTAAAACCCGACATGTCCCAAAAAACTACGAACACCCTTTACCGAAATTGGTGGAGGTAACTTGTCAATCACTTCAATCTTTGCTTTGTCAACCTCTAACCCCTTTTGTGACCAAGCACTATACCTTCCTTAACCATGTAATGACACATTTCCCAATTTAGGAGTAAATTTGTCTCCACACATCTTTGGAGAACTTGTCCTAAGTACTCTAAACATGCTTCAAAAGTGCCACCCACAATCGAGAAGTCATCCATAAATTCTTCAATTGAATCCTCCACCATGTCAGCAAAAATAGCTAACAAGCAACGTTGAAATGTAGCTGGAGCATTACATAAACCAAACGACATCCATTTGAAGGCAAAAGTACCATATGGGCACGTAAATGTTGTTTTCTCTTGGTCTTCCAGAGCAATGGAGATTTGGTTATAATTGGAATATCCATCTAAAAGGCAATACAACCTCTCTCGGAGAGTTGATCAAGCATTTGATCCATAAAGGGCATAGGAAAGTGATCCTCTTCAGCCGACGAATTTAGCTTCTGATAATCTAAGCATACTCTCCACCTGGTCACCGATCTCATAGATACAAGCTCCCATTTTTCATTTAGGACTACCGTGATGCCTCCCTTTTTCGGTACACATTGTACTGGACTTACCCATTTGCTATCCGCAATAGGGTAGATTACCCCTGCGTCCAACCACTTTATTATCTCCTTTTTCACCACTTCTTGCATCGGTGGGTTCAATCTCCGCTGATGTTCAACACTTAGCTTACAATCACTATCAAGCTGAATTTTGTGAGTGCAAATACTGGGAGGAATGCCCACTATGTCAGTGATAGTCCACCCTATAGCTTTGATATGCCTTCTCAACACCTCAAGAAGTAATTTTATCTGCCAATCAAGCAAATCAACTGCAATGATCACCGGTAAATTTTTATTTGCCCCCAAGAAAGCATATTAGAGATGGGAGGGAAGTACTTTCAACTCTAGATTTGGTGGATCTTCTATTGATGGGTTTGCACAAAGAATTTCTCAATTTTTTAAATCAATGTCCAACTTCAACAAAGTCTTTGAATACCCCCCAAACCTGATAGAGCTGCTACTACCTCTTCATAACCTTGAATTTTGAACTCGTCATAGTTAGCAAGCACGACTTCAAGTTGCTCACTCATCCATATCAAATGGCTTACACTAGCCACCGCCTCATCAATAACATCAACAGTGGAGACCACACGAATATCACTTGGGTCTTTCATTAACTTACACACATTAAAGGTCACTTAATTTTCATTCACCCAAAACTTCAATTCTCCGCTCTCAACATCCACCAACGCTCTTCCGGTTGCCAAGAATGGTCTTCCCAAAATAATGAAAATTTCAACATCTATTTCACAATCTAGAATGACAAAATCAGCCAGGAAAATAAATCGGTCAACCTTTACCAAGATGTCATATAGTATCCCCACAGGATGTTTAAGTGATTGGTCCGCCATCAAAAGTCTCATTGTTGTGGCTTTTGGTTCCCCCAACCCAAGTTGTTTGTAGATCGCATATAGCATCAAGTTGATGCTTGCTCCTAAATCGCATAGGGCTTTAGTAAATTGGAGCATGCCTATGGTGCACGGGATGGTGAATGCTCCAGGATCTTCTCTCTTTTTGATTAGCTCCTTAGTCATAATTGCACTACAACTATGGGAGACTTCGATTGTTTCAAAATCCAAGCTCCTTTTCTTTGTGACTAACTCCTTCATAAATTTGGCGTACCCCAACATTTTCAACAATGCTTCCACTAGGGTAAGATTAATAGATAATGTCTTGAACACCGATAAAAATTTCTTGAACTTCTCATCCTCATTCTTCTTCTTTAGACATTGAGGAAATGGATGAGTTATTTTGGGTAAAGGTTGCATAACTTTTGGGCTTTTATTGTGTTTCTCCATATTCTTTTGTGGTCCTTTGGCAATGCTTTGATGGATAGGTGCCTCGTCTTTATCCATCCCTTTGTCTTCTTCATGCACTTGAGCTTCCTCATTTCCCTTCACATCGCCTATTTCTACCTTTCCACTTCGAGTCACCACAACCAGCTCTCTAACATCATCTTTCATTATCATTTTTGGTTTCAATTGTGATGAAAGTGAACTCAACTGACCTTTAAGTATCTTGATTGCATCTACGTGAGAGTTCGCTTTATTGTTCAATGATGAAAAGTCGGATTTTATCCCTTTTAACAAGTCATCTGAGCCTTCGACTTTATCAAGGATGCGTGACAAGAAATCATTCACCCTCGGACTACTTGCACTCCCTCTCGATTTAGGGCTCTCACTTGTGTGAGTGTGGTCCTCTTCATGATCCTCCTCTCTTTTCCAATAGTCGCTTTGCTCAGCCCAATCTTGATAGTATCTTCTTTGCTCTTCTCCCTTGTGATAGTTTCAACCTTGATTCCTGCCCCACTGCAAATAGCGTGGGTAGAAACCCTCCTCGTATCTCTTGGAGTTCAAACCTTGATTCTCCCCCGGCCTTGAGTAATCGGAGGAAGAACCTTCCTCAACTCTAAACACTCCATATGTCTCCTTCATATGCTCTTGTAGAAATTCCATTTGGGTCAACATATTCTTGATGTTTTCATCCCTCTCTCTCTCTTTATCAAGTTGTTCTTGTGTCAATCTAAAACAAAACTGAGAGACTTGATCCTCTTGAGTGTACCACGTTTGATTTATTTTAGTCATGTCATCAAGAAGAAATGAAGCCACCTCAAATGATCGTAACATTATTCCCCCTCGTACCAATTGATCAGCCACTCCTTTATTAATCGAATCAAGACTCCGGTAAAAATATTGGAGGAGCAGATCGTTTGGTAGCCCATGAGTTGGGCATTTAAGTAAGAGTTTCCTAAACCTCATCCACGTTTCATGGATGGGTTCACCCTCCCATCGCTTGAAACCTTGAATGTCGTGTTTAAGCTTCATCATCTTTGATGGGAGAAAGAATCTTGTATTGAATGCTATAATCAACTCCTCCCATGATGTGATGGAGTTGTTTGGTAACTCGGCCAACCACTTGCTAGCCTCCCCTGTCAAAGAGAGTGGAAATAACCGAAGTCAAATTGACTCTTGTGACACATTGTTGAATGACAACGGGATGTACACCTCTGTAAAACTTCTTACATGCTCATGTGGGTCTTTATGCTCTAGCCCTCCATAGAGTCCTCTCATTCCAATAGATGAAGAGTCGTGCCAGTGACCTCAAATATTTCATTCCCATCAGCTTGTGGTATGCAAATTGCACCTATTTTACCTGCATGAGATGGTTTTTAAACACTATTTATATCATCGATATCGTCCCGATGACCTGCTTAACTACTATTCACCTCTTCCTCACTCATTTGTACTTCTATGTAGTACAACCAACACTACACAATGTAGCCTAAGCCAATTCAACTACAACCAAATACTTCACAAATAAAATGTTCAATCAAAGAATTCTAAGTACCGCTTCTCTCCGATAGTGGCACCATTTTGATTAACGTTTCAATGACACTTCATCCAGTTCTAAGTGTCAAAGATAGCTAGTAAGTGTATAACCCAACTAAATGAGTTGGGGTCGATCCCACAGAGTAGCTTCTCTTTCGAATTCAATTATAGAAGTATGACAATAATCTTTTCAACTAAACACTTACTGTACCTTTTTGGTTTAAGCTTCGAATTTAAGGTTATTATTATCCATCCAATTCAACACTTAACATGAAATGATAAAATAATGAGGTAACACATGGGGAATTGACCAACTAATTATTGAGTTCAACTTAGTGGATGAACATTGATGCTCACAATGGGATAAATTGTCGTGGGTAGGTAGGACTATATGTAAAGCAATTTTCTCTCAAACAATTACCTTATCTTTGTCGAATTCTCTCAAACTTCAACACTAGACGGAAGATGCCCAGCCCTTGTCCTCATAAAATCCACTCTCTCGAGCTAGATACAAAGGATAGGTTCCATGTTTCACTTTCTCAAGCTGAAATCATGGCGACCCACTACTAAGGATGCTAGACTTGCTACTTTTTCTTTACACTTCTCTCTCGAGCAAGCACAAAACACTGAACTAGTGACATCAATCATGCAAGATGAGCTCAAAATACAGCAGCAAATTAGACCCACTTCAAATTAACACCATTATTCACAAATCAATGACAACCACTTAGTAGTCACATAGTCAAAACTCCAAGGAGAGGGTTTTAGCCAATCATAGGAAAAAGATGAAAATCAACATCTGCCATGCTTACCATAACTAGGTAAAAATGAAAATTTAAAATTTAAAATCAACGACAATCTTCTCTATTACAAAATTTCAACGAAAAACCTTGCTAAAATCACTTGAAATCCACAATGGTAGTGATTTTACTCTCAATCTTGTGTTCCTCACATTTCTAAATGTTTTCTCTCTCTAGCAAAAATCAATTTTAACAACTCTGATGTGTGACTGTTTAAGTCCAATCGGTGAGGTAAGTTGGGCTTCACCGACAGTTCGGTGACCCACCAATTGTCCTTCCTCTCACCTTCATTTTTCATTTCTTCTTGGTCCAACTACTGTAGTTTTAGGCGATCCAAATCGGGATCACCGAATTATTTTGTGAGTCGCCCTTTCTCCATTTATCTCGCCCATCAGCACTTTTGGCGACCTGGTCATCCCTCGCCGAAGTGATCAGCGACACGCCGAATGGAACTGCTGCTCACCGAAGTTACCCCCATTTCAGCTCCAACATTCTATAACTTTAGGCGGTAGAGTGGAAACTTGGTGATTCGCCGAGTGGCATTGGCGATCACCAGGCCTTCATTTCTTCATTCCTTTAGCTCGCTTCGTTCCTTTTTTGCACATTAGTGTCCAGGCTTTGTTCCTGAATCCAAATACCTGGAATCAGTTATTAACACAAAAGAAGCATTTGAGGACACTAAATCTATCCAAATAAAGCCTAAATGAGTACAAATCATGGACTCATCAGTAGTACATACAACATGCAGCATCACATATAAACCCTCAACTAGCTGGTACCAAACCCAAAATAGTGTCGATCAATCCTAAAACATTGTATCTAAGAAGGAGAGTAAGAATAACTAGGCATCTTCCCCCAATTCACACTAAGGGGTCGTTTGGTAGAGTGTATTAGAAAATATAATGCATGCCTTAGGTGTGTGTATTAGAAGTACCTTGTTTGGTACACTTTTTCATGTCATGTATAACTAATGCAAGCATTAGTTATACGCTCTATTGTGTATTAAGTTATATATTACTAATACCAAGTAATTCTAGGTATTAGTAATACATAGCATTTTAACACTTGCATTAGATTAAATAATTACAAAACTACCCTCAAAGCCTTTTTAAAACATTTCCTAGCATTTTCTCACAACTCTAGAATCTTTTCATTTTCTTTGTTTGTCATATATTTTTATTTTTATTTTTATTTGTTTTTGAGTGTTTTTTTTTGTTGGTGTTTTACTAGGGTTTTTTTTTGGGAGGGTTTAATTTTATTTTATTTAATAAAAAGGCCTGCCCCACTATTGATAAAAAAAAACTACTGTGTTTGTAAGGTTCCAAGTTAAAGAAACAATTTTTGTTCCGTTTTCCGACCTCTATATGATAACATAGGCAGCATGAATGACACTAACATGAGTGGCATATACCCCTCAAGACCATTCACATGGAGTCAAGCAAAGGATCTCCAAGGCCTACAAGCAATGTTCATGAAAAGGGAAGCATTAGAGAAGCTTGAAGGTCACCAAAGAAAAACATACAATGTGTGTAAGGTACATCAAAATGAGAAGGAAGAAGGAAAGAGGCCATGTGTGGAAATGACCTTTTCATGAATTCAAGAATTCACAAAAGAAGGCAACCAAACAAGGCCCTTATCTTATTAAGGGTAAAATTGTCAAAAAGTGTCTTGTTTATTTTTTTAGTATAAATAGTAGTCTCTTTTATTTTGGGAAGACTTAGACTATATTGAATATTGACTCTCAAATTATAGTATCTTCTTAGTGAGTAATTAGTGAGTAATTAGGGTGAACTCTTGGGATTGCTTGTTAACTTCTTGTGTTTGATTAATCAAAGTGTTACCCCTTTGTGATTCTTGGTTTCATTTGATTATTCTTCCTTGGGTTGAATTTAGGTTGTTGAAGTCAATTGGGAGGTGAGGGTTTTAGTCCCTTGTTGCCCATAATTTCAATAACTTGAGTATTAATCCACATATCCTTTCTTTCTTTATTCCTTTCCTTCCTTGATCGTTATCATTTGGTATCAAGAGCCTAGGTTTAGATTTGTTCTTACAAATCTAGTCTTGGTTTAAAAAACGAGTCCAAAAAATTGTCAAAAAAAAAAATCTGAATTTTTTTAATTTTTTTTTTGTTTTGATTTATTGTTTTTTGACACTAGATCCTTGTTCCCTAGTGTTTTTTGAGTCTAGGTTTCAAATTTTGTTCAATTTGGATTTGTAGAAGTGAAGTTACCATTGAAGTGTTTCATGCTTTTTAAACTCTTCAAATTTTGAAAATGGGTCTTTTGATTGAGGAGAAATTGAAGGTTAATAATTAGTGGGTTTTGTTCTCTTAGTTGAAGGGAAGAAAATTCTAAATTTTGAGCCAATTTCGAGTTGATTTTAGTGTATTGGGGTTTAGTGTGTGTTCTTGGTTTTCTATGTGTTCTTGGTGTCTTCAACTTGCTCTTGAAGAAGAAGAAAGAAGAAAGTACATTTGATCCAACTTTTCAAGTCAAAGTTGGTCAAAGGTGTTTTTTTTGGGGTCCATTAGTGGAATTTTGAAAGAAAGAAAGAAACAAAGAAAAAAAAACGAAATCTGAAAAAAAAAAAAAAAAAAGTGCCACGTGGATCGACACATCAGCAGCCAGCACAACAGACAACCTGCCAGCGACGCCCAGTCGCACCTGACGCGCGTGTGCGTCAGTTTCAGAGACCAAAACCTGCAGGTTTTTTTTAAGACCCCAAAAATATTCCAAGTATGGAAGTTTTTTGGACCTAGAAAATTTTCTAAGTGTCCAAACTTCGTGATTCTTTTTTCTAACATTTTTCCCTTCAATTCCTCAACTATTTAACAATTAATTATCATCTTTAATTACTTGTTAACTAGTTTTAATCATCAAATCATCCAATCAAAGTCTTACAAGTGATGGACTTCTTTGAGGCATAATTTCTTTTCTAAGTGTCCAAATTCACTTCTTCTTCCTCTAAACTCATTTTTCTTCTAATTTTCAGCTATTTAACAATTAATTAACATCTTTAATTACTTTTAACTAGTTTTAATCATCAAATCTTTTCTTTGATCCTTCAAATTAAGTAACAAGAAGTAATTCTTCTACTTTTGTTACTTGGTTTATTTTGAGTCCGAATTTTTTTTGGTACTTCTTCTTCTACTTTTGTCATCTTAATTCGTTGATAACCTTCTTGATTCAAGTCCGTTAGTTTTTTTTTCTTTTTTTGGGTCGTCCTTCTTTCAAGAGTCGCAAGAATCCACTCCATCACAAAGGATATGTGATCTTGAGTTGATTGAACGGAGC